AGGGGCGAAGAAGTTAAATTCCAGAGTTAAGGAACCGGAGGAAGTTTAAATCATTTTTTGCGAATTCCGATTTCCTGTATATTTCCCAGGTGATGCGCGGACGTTGTACAATCGCTGGAAACAGCTTCGTGACAAATATGGAAAGGAAAAAAAGAAATTGAAGTACGGTGCTGAACATACAGGGTGGCAATATTTCAAGTATCTAACATTTCTGGATCCGCATATGGTTGACCGACAGCAACAGCAATATGCCCGGGCGAAAGAAGGCAAAGGCGTTTTGTTTTCGCCTGGAGGAGTTTGTTTTTACTCTAATTCTGAAATTATAATTATTTTCCCTTCTGTTTCTTCTTGTCGTCTTTCTCTTTTCTCTTCCTTTTCCATTAAGCACAGCGACCGTCATACTGCCACGAAGTCCTGTCGCACGGTATTGAGTTAAGACGTATATGACTTAATGGACCGAAATGTCTTATCTCACTCTTACCTTCTTTTCTCATACTGTTCTTTCATGCTATAATCTATCGTACCTTCGCCATTTAGACTTCCATGGTCAACCTGGTTGTTACAGTCAGCATTCCGTGCTGTTTGTGATGAAGTATTACATTTTTGTATCATTTATTAACCGGCCATTTATATCTTCTTTTTTAGTGGATGTATATAGCTGCGGCCGTGGTCTTTATGGTTATATCGAACGCAGCAGCAGCGGAGCAAGGTGCCGAGTAGATCGGTGATGATCGGACGAATTTTTTTTTTTGCTCGAATCAATTGCGCTACAAGTAACCAGCATCAGCAGCCATGATGCTCCCAGCATGGTTTTATACATATCATTGCTTTTTTTTTATGTTGTACCTCCACTGCGTGTTAAATATCTTTAGTTGCAACCACCACATGGATAATCTTTGACCGGTACTTGTGTTTTTGATTTCTAGTGGATTTGTATATCATACATGGTTCGCTGTTGCTAATAGCTATTTTCAGGAGGAGAAGAAGGGGAGGGGAGAGGAGGAGGGAAACCGTAGGCAAAATATTCATCAAATGGAACAATGAAACTGACAGAGCTAAATTTTTTCAAAACCTCTAAAACAAGAAATTTTCGGTATTTTTTTGATAATTTGTGCAATTGAGCCACAGCTGCATTTCTGTGCCTTTTTTGCAGCTATGCGATGCAAAAACGCATATTATCAAGGGGTTGTCTGTGTGTGTGTGTGTGTGTGTATATATATGTATGTATGTATGTATGTGGATGTGTATCTGTGTGTACATCTGTAACGAGTTTTCATCT